CATCAGGGGCCTAGCACCGACAGCCTCATCAGCAAACTTCTCCAGTCTGTTCTGGATAATGACCAAGGAATGGAGCCCAAGTACAGGGTGCAAAAATCAGAGAAGAGGAATCGGTCCAAACGAAGCCAGACACCCCACACCATATTGGACTGCATTACTACGGATATGGCGGGAAGTCATGCCGAAGAAGCTGCGTAGACCCAAATCCAAAGACAAGATATTGAGGCAACCCCTGTTTGGTAATCCGTGGGTGAGAGACGAAAGTGATCACCCACTATCCCTTAAGCCTAAAGGAAGGAGATGGCTATCGTGGATCAAAAATGGAGTTTGGAAAGTGAGCCATCTGTGGAACCCTGGCAGTGTTTACCTCTTTCCCAACTACCCCCTCCGCGCAAGGCCTCCCATCTATCCTGAATAAGGAGGTGGAAAGAACAGTCCTAAACCCTTTTGTTCTCAGAAAAGTAAGAGTGTTGGGATCATGACCAAAAACAATCTTCAGAACAGATACGGCGATTCAAGATTTGAAATTTGATCCAGCAGAGTGGGCTTGGACACTAGTCAGAAGCAGAAGTCTCAAAACGAATGTCCCCATCCTGGAATAGACAGTCAAACTGGGATACAACTTACTCCTCAAAGCAAAGGATCCTGACGCAACGATCAAGAACAGATGGCAGAAGTTAATAGGTCAGGAAGCTAGTCAGATCCCACATACCATGGAAGTAATTCAAGTCAATCCGTCCGGTCAAAATGAGAAGCCTCCAATGGCTCATCTCATGCGTGGCTCCACCGGTTAACCAGTGGCTGCTCATCAGAAGAAGTAAGAATGACCCCAACAGTTCAGATTTATGTGCGGTATGTTCAGAGAATGAACCAGAAGAGATGCTACATTGCCTGATACACTGTAGAGAGGCGAAGGAATATTGGGTGAAGGTCTCGGACCTCTGGGACTCCCTCCTCTCGACTCCCCTCCCTGAACACCCCATCCAACTCCTTCTATGGACGAACATCCCAGCTCAATTCCACAAGACACAGAAAACGTGGTTCATAATGATCAGAAAGGTAATGCTGTGGTCGATCTGGAAGGAAACGTGCTGCGGAACCATAGAGGGACTCTCAACTCCAAGGGAGAAGGGGAGACAAGGAACATGATTCAGGCAGAGATTCTTGTAATTGGCATAAGACGAGACACTCCATGCCAGATGACGAAGAGCAACAGAGAAGAACCAAGGCAAAATTCACTAAGGTGTGGCTCGCAGGGGGAAAAATAGCAGAGAGAAATGACTTTCACATATGATGGAAAGACTGGCACAACTCGGAAGCAGGGTGGAGAAGGCAGAGATCCCCGGCAGCAGGTGGACAAGATTCATCACAGGCCACGTAATATTGAAGGGCAAATTCCACGATGACATCTTCCGTACCTTTCTTTACCTTTCTTGCCCTTTATCATTTATCTGACAGGTTCATACAGTGGTCCTGAGATGAAAGGTGGAAATAAGGCAAGCTGACAGTCAATCCTCCACGATGCCGGAGTGGAAGTAAGGCAAGCTGACAGTCAATCCTCCACAATGCCGGAGTGATCAATACTTGAAAGGTGGAAGTAAGGCAAGCTGACAGTCAATCCTCCACAATGCCGGGGTGGAAGTAAGGCAAGCTGACAGTCAATCCTCCACGATGCCGGAGTAATCAATGCTTGTCAGGGTTCCTTCAGCCAGACGGAAGGAAGCATGAATGTGTTTCCTGATGTAATACTTTGTCCTGACTTGCCGGTGGAATAGGAACCAGACCGATGCTCCCCAGAATGGAAATGGAGCCAGGGCCATAAGGACCTGTTTTATGGAGGGGGAAAAAAAAAGACATCCGTGGTGGATCTCTTCTACATGCATGCTGATCTGGGGTATGCTGTTGGGTTGTGAGGTCTTGGTCAACATTGTGTGTTTGGACTCTGGAGTTGTGCATCGGGTATCTGCAGCCGTGGTTCAGTGCAATTTTACTTAGCCAGATGAACGCGAAGGACTATCCTACGCGGAAAAGCACTGGACCGAAATATATATATATTGGTTGTTGGAGTGGAGGCTCGATAGCAGTCTGAGCGGAAATTGGACTGTGTAGCGTTGTGTCTGTTCGGGCACTCTACCATAATGACATGTTTGTGATTTCGTTTTTAATACTTGTCTGCCAATAGGTTCTAACCTTGGCAAGCCCAGGGAGTGCTCTGATTAGTTATTTGAACTTATTTCTGCATTCATGCATTAGGTGCATGTGTCAGCCCCAGGAGTTTGCCTGTGTATAGGTTTAACATTGGCAAGCCCAGGGGCTGATCTGCGCCTTGAACGACATCATGCAAAAAAATGTGGTCTTGGAGGCACAGGCTTCTGAGTTGGCAACAGGAGTGAAAGAAACAGTCGTTGACAGAGACTTACCCAAAGCCACCCAAAGGGCCCAAGAATTTGTCCAGCAATTTCGAATTAGCCTGGAGGCAAAACAGACCTAGTCACTGGTCTGTGCTGAACACCAGAGCAGGTATGGAAGTCTTCGCTTTCCAGCCAGAAGACAGCAGGCAAGGGGCACGGAGCTAGCAAGTAGCTACAGAAGGCCACATAATATATGCAGGGGGTATGCAGAGTTACTTGATTTCAATGCGGCACAGTACAGCACTCACATTGCTGTTCCAGATACTACTGAGCTCCACAATTTTCAGGAACTCCCAAAAATTGTGGGAATGGAGGCTGGGGCAGGAGAAATGGCTGGAGCTTGACCTAGAGCTACATTCAAGGTGTTTTGCAGAGGAGAGGGAAGTAAGACAAGGTTCTGAACACCATATGTGACACTGTTCTGAACACCATATGTGACACTGTTCTGAACACCATACCTCACCTGCCAGGCAAGGGAGGGATTGCACTCTCTGAACGTCTTTAGCAGCCCAAGATAGCCAGTGGTGGGGAAAATAAATATTTTTGAGTGCTTCACTGTTACGACTACATGTGCTAGACTCTCAGTGGCTCCCCAACCTCACCTGACTGTATATCCCGTAAAGTTCATAACTTACAAACATGCTGTTTATTGTGGTATTATCAGATCCAGGAGCCTGGACGCCCCCTCTACATACATGAACTGGCTTCTGTACAGGGCTGTGCCCGCAACCGGCCAGTTGGACCAGGTGGTCCAGGTCGGATCCAACCGGGCCGGTTGGACCCCTGGTGGTCCAACCGGAATTCTGGTTGGGCCCAAAAGTGGGTCAATTTTTTTATTTTTATTTTTCTGAAAACATGGTTGGACTGCACTCGCCGAGATCTCCCCGAAAATCCGCAAAGAAAACTTTGAACAGAAAAGTTCCGTTTGGGGGGTTTTGGGGGAGGTGGTATTTCAGGGGTTGGGGTCGGGGGTTGGAGGGGTTATGGTGAGGGTGTAAGTGGTGGGGTTTCAGCAAGCACGGGCTTCAGCAGACATTGACAACAACGTACCTGGCTTTCTGCAAACGTTAACCTTCCGCCCAAAAACTTTGAAAAAGGGGCTGGGGTGTTAGTGGCAGGGCAGGGACGGTACTTCCCACCAGTGTTGCACACCCCGACCGCCGGCGCCCCTTGAATGGTCGGCACCAG